TTCTTAAAAGAAACAAAAAGTTGCCATTAAAATGCTGAGAAATTTACTATCAATTTTGTGAGGACACAGGAGCTGAATGTCAGTACCTATCTTTAATCAAAGTCTGGTGTGGAAGCAGAAGTACTGTACATGTTTGGGGATAGTTACATCAAAAGGCATGCAGTTAGCTGTTATTGTGCATTGTGGAAAGCGAATTTGCTTGCTAATTATATTCATTCATTTTTTTCTGTAGATACTGTCTTTTAACCTGAGTTTAAAATCTTTTTACATTTTTGTTTCTAGACCTTTGAGTTAATTGGCTGCCATTTTCCCTATTTCCTGACAATACTGTTTTCGAAACTTTAGATTACATTTGTACTTCTCCATTTTCTGGTTTGCTTGTTTGTTTGTTTTTATGTGTAGCCATGTTTCTAGAAATGTTTGAATTATTTCACATTATTCAACACTCGGTATCGTTGCAAAACTTTCCTTTTGAAATCCCTTACTCTTGTCTGCAATACATTTCAATCATAGAAAGAAAAAAATTATCATTCAATGAAGTAGTATAAATATCTTGGTAATTTTAGCTGCAACTGCTGGTTTTAACAGATGGAATTCCATATGTCACAGGGATCAAGGATTCTATACATAAAATAAAATGCATATAAATAAAGTAATTTGAAATTAGTAAATTTTTAATGATGTTGGTGAATATATTAACTTCACTTTTTAATGTATCACAAATTAATGTTTATATTTCGGTAAATTCAGTGGTTTTAATGAGAATTGGTTGTAATGAGAAGCAAATGACAATAATAATAATAATAATAATAATAATAATAGTAACAATAATAATTATTATTATAACAATAACAACAATAATAATAAATAAATAAAAAACAAACAAAGTTTAGTTTCTAAACAAACAAAGTCTAATTACCTTCTTCAACTCAGTGTTGCATCATATCTTTTTTCTATCTTTCCCTTCGCTTTTGATTTAACTATTTCATATGCTTGAAGCATGCTATTGCTACTCTTTTATTTTATATTTGTATATATTAATACTATCTGATTCTCAGTTATAATACTTCTACTCAAATCTTTTGTTCATATTTATTTCCTTATGTTTACATTTGTAATGACTGTATGTTTTTGCTTGTGTGGTAGAGTTAATTTAAAATATATGTTTTGTCGCTAATTGTAAGAGGTTTTCTGTTTGTAGTTTGTCTTCATTGTGCATAGAACAATGTGAAATAATATGTTTTTTTGCTAATTTTATGTTCAAAACTACATTTATTTTTTTATTACTATTTGGTGACTTTACTGTAAATACGAATTATGTTGGACTTTTTAAAAACAACTTATCGCAGAAATATTCTACTTATAACATGTTAAAGAATAAGCTGTCAGAGAGAATGGTAGACCTAGTATAGAAGACAAAATATTGATTGCAAATATTTTATATATGATTGCTTCATTATTAAAATTGTGTAAGTTTAACACTCTGAGTGCCATTCATTTGAGGAGCATTGGTTGCACCCAGGGACAGCTATGATATAGTATTCTATTGTCAATGTAAAGGTAATTTGCACTCTTGTGCAATTTTTTCCTTGCAGCCTCTGTGTTCTGATGTTTTAAATTTGGTAACATAGATTTTATTTAGCTTATAGAGACTTTATTTATACTTAAACTGATTTTATTTATCTTATACAGCTTAAGTCAAGTGACGACTTCACTGTTGCTGCATGAGTAATAAATTTAACTGATATTATATTACATGAAATTGATGAATCTTCGAAAATTGTATTTCTTATATTATGCATTAGTGCACTTATTTTTTCAACTCATTTAAAATAAAAAAATGTAAGTGTAATGCAGACATTAAAAAAATACCCACATTTTTGCCGCCTTTCACAAATGCGTTTCTTGTGTAGTGCATTGCTGGCGCGTCCCTGTCAATATAAGATATTTGAAATTCACTGACGACATTGGTAGGCAAACCTGCAGGCCATGCTTGAAATGTTTTGTTTCGCCCAGAGGGGATACAAGCTGCTGTCACTACAGTCATTCAATGTCACAAAATAGAACTGCTAGATTTTCTAAGTGATCCGAGACTGTGGCATTCTCTTGACCCCTCTGAAGGGTGTCAGCTGATGCCTCTTGTGACCTCACGGCACTCAATGTGTTAATTTTGTGTAGTACAAGCATTAATGAACTTATGAATTCCTATATAAATTTCTTGAATCTAGTTCTCTGTGACATCATGTTTCAAAGAAATACAGACGTTTTATAACAATGAAATTTCATAAAATAATTTCAATAAAAGTATGAAAGAGGAAGAAAATTATTGCACATTGTTTTATTTGCTGTGTATGTAGTCTTGTCAAAGAAATTATATTAATTTTCTCACCTATATGTTCTCATGTTCTTCGTGGGTAAATTTTAAAACATTTTATTCAGAGGGCAATTTGAAAACAAGGATGAGTCGAAAGGTTCTGTAATTTGAACTGTATATAAATGTTGCCTTGTTAGGTTTGCTTTTTTCTTTTGTTGGACATTACTTCAGTTATTTGTGTTTTGTTGTTTAGGGTGTAATGGTTGCTAAAATATCTGTTAATAGATTGACACAATTTGATTCTACTATGCTTTAGTATTCTGATAGGAACAGGTAGTTCAGAATCTTATTCAGTATTTTGTACTATTTTTCTTGTATTTCTGAATCGTTTTCAAAGTGATACTTGCAACTTGCAGCATAGTGATAGCATAAAACATACGTTGTTTCTTAATTGTTGGGAAATAATTCATATTGTCTTTTGACTCTTCTGGATGTGCCAGACCTAGTGGATAGAACAAAGCAGTACTTTTGAATGCAAGAGTTCAAATGGTGCTCACGGCTGGAAGTTGTTATTTACACACACACGCAGTACATTTGGGATGTCTTAGAGATGGCCCCTATGAATAACTTGCCAATTTTGTATTGTATTATGAGTTTATATGTATGAGATAAAATCAAAAAGTAACGATCATAACTCAAAAAGTGTACAAAAGTTTCAAAAGAGCTATTTTTATTAAGTTCTTTGTACAAAAATCAGTTCTTTGGGACACCAGCTGAATGTGGAATAGCATCATGGAGAAATATTACTCCATTAGTCAGGATTCCTGGCTGGAAGATTGGTATTGCAATTATAAATTTCAACTCTGAAAGTCTCAAAACATGTTTTTTGTAATTTTTCAAAGATATGCAGTGCATGAAACAAATTTTAAAAAAAAGTATATTTTCGAAGTAATTTTCAAAATCTAATTTTTCAAGATTGAGATAAGATCTATCCTCTAAATAGGATCCTGGGAATGACTTATCATATGTGTATTTAAGGTGAATAAGGTGAATATAAGAAATTACCAATGTTTTGAGGATAAACAAATTTAACTATCTGTGTAATTTTATATACAAGGTAAGAGAGCATAGAATGCACAAAATTATTGTATATTTATGCAAAATAATTTCGGTTTGATGTTCTAGCTAATGTTTGTACACTGCCTTTGTTGGTTTCTTAGAGCAAAGATTTGTCCCATATCGTCATAACTACCATCTTGGACCACTCTCAAATACCTATTCAATACAGAAAGGTGTTCAAATAATTGTCTCTTATTTTATATAAGCAATTTATTATTACTGTCTGGCCTTGAAGTTCCAAAGATTTGCTCACATCACATTTGCAACCATCTCTCTAGTGGAAGGTGAAGGTCCTTCAGCTTTGTGATCACCTGCTTAGTAACGGGGAAGAGATAACCTTTATCTCTACCAGCCTCACTCCTCACCTGTACACAAGCCTCACTAATCTCCAGGTTAATGTATTCATTGTTATCATCGTTCAATACAAACCCTACAAGACCTTACTCTTTAGTAAGTTTGTAGATTGTTTTTGTTTCGTTTGTTTTTTGAATAGGGATGAGGTTTTTTGTGTCTATGTTTGTTACGTTTTGTGGTTTAGTTTTAATTTTTTGTAAATCTTCATTAACTTATGTTGATTATTTGTAACAAAAGACATTTCATATTTGTTTAGTGATTTGATACCCCAAACCCTTGAAAGCCATCCAGACAGATGGTGTCTGATGCTGTTAGTAAAACTTATCACAGAGATTAACGCTCTGCCCTTCAAATAATTTTACTAGACATAACAATATTAGCAAATTTCATTGGAAATTCAAACAAGAAACAGACACAGTTTTATTACACATATTCTAGTTATTGTTTTTTATTTTTCTTTTATTAATTTCTTAACGTAGATGCTAGAAGACTGACATTGAAAGTTTCATGTTGATTATTAACTTTTTTACCATTGAAAAATTGGGTAAATATGTGAAGATGAATTTTAGGAAGATGTTCTGAGCTGTCAGAACATGCAAAGAATTGTCAGAGTTTCTCCTTATTTGCATTTTTTCCTTATTTCCATTTTCTCTTTATTTGCAGAACAGTAAATTAGGCAAGAAAATATATTTAACTCTCATCAACCAGTCTTTCACCGTGCACTGGATATTTTTTTGAATGCTTTTGCTAAATACAAGCTTCAGCTTTCACAAAAGTTACTTAGTTTATATTTCTTAATACTAGCCAACAGCTTTTATAATCCCTGAGTCACATCTTTTCTCATCACAGTTGTATCTTTTGTCCTTGTGACATTATACTTTGTTGTTTGTTAATATGTTGTCCTAAAAGAAAAAACACATACAAAGTTAATGGCGACTACTGCTTCTATAAATTTGGGTTTAGTTAGATTAAGTTATTTAGTATACTCGTAGATCATTTATTATTTCAAATTTTCATCTGACGAATATAATAAGCTAATTGATTGTTTTCACAAAAAATGTATGCAGAATCTTCATGACTCATTCTTGTTTATTTGACAGTACAGTACGTATCGACTAATATGTCAGATAATCTTGATTTCTCCTTTAGTGCACTGACCCTTGTCAGAGTCCCTTGTGTTAGTGATAGACTGACTGCATGCATGTTGTCACAGAGATCTCGTGCAAGTGTGCATGGCGTGCAAGTACTGGGTAAGCCTTTGCTGACAATGGCAACCCCTCAGCAGGTGACTCCTTCCACTGCAACATTCCTGGAGCCACAGCAGCAGTATGTTGCGGCGATTCCTGTTCAACCGGTGCTGGCAGCCGGATTCCCTGGTACAGCAGCTGTGGTGACAACTCTCCCTGCACCTGAGGTATCTTTTTCTTTTCATGCTTGTTGATCACAAAAGAAATTTATTTTTTAGACTGCTTCATTTGATGTCATTGCAATCTCAGAATTTTTGTTGTTGTTGCACATTGGAATTGTATCAAGTATTTTGGCCATCAGCCTTTGCCCCTCTACACTAAATAGTTTAGAATTTATAATGTGGCTCCATTCTCTTGATTACCCACCCATCTGCTCCTAGTGGGAAGCAGTGTTCTCTAGAATAATTATGTCACAGCCCATAATTATGTCTTGGTGAGAAGGAGAGATCACAATGATTGAGAAACGTATATTTTCTGTTCCTTTTAATTAACTTAAAAATTCTAATACACAGGGTTAGGAAAGGGAGATGTTTTTTCAGTGTGTACTTTTTGTAAACTAAAAATTTTAACTTTAGGACAATTTTTGAAAATCAATAAAATTAGTAGTTTCACGAGCTTTAGAGTTATTAACATCTTTGAAATAGTTGTGGTTGTGGAGAAAAAAAAATTCAGTGATTTTAATTTCATGCTGCAAGCTCATAGCGATAATAAGCCCCTCAACAAATGTGATAATGCCCATTTTTTATTTACAGTTAAATATTTTTTATGTTTGTAACAAGTTAAAATTAATAATTTTTTATGTTTGTGTTTTTTATTATATGTATGGTAATTTACCTTAATAAACAAAATGAAAAAAAAATTATAATATAAATTTGCAATTCAATTATTTTACAGCATTCATTGAGACATCACACATCACACAGCATTCATTGAGACATCACACATCACACAGCAATAATTGAGACATACTTTTATATGTCACGCTTAGAATTTTTATAACTGACTAAACATATCTTAGAAACGTCAGGGGAATTAAGAAAATCTGTGATTTGTTCACCCTTGTGAATGACAGCAATTGGCCATTTAAAAAGTTGCCAGACTGATATAGCATTTATGATATGATATTGTCTTCTCGTCTTCTCAACCCTGCTTTAAATTTTCAATGAATTTGGCTAGATGTGATGTAGATGTTTGTAATCTCTACTATGATTAAAATTGCATTATGTCACAATTATATGTCATTCTTAAAATTTTTAAATTATGCTTATCTTCATCAATTTATTAAGAGCTCATTTCCTAAGTAAATGATAGTAGATTTAAAATTGTGTGCTCAGGATGAGTTTAACACTTCAATACTGTTTTAGCTTATGCGGCAACCAATAGTAATGACGACTGCCCAAAGCCAGATCCAGGAACAACTGCAACGCAAACATGAAGAGCTTCAACAGCTGATTGTTCAGCAACAGGAGGAACTGAGACGAGTGTCAGAACAACTTCTGATGGCTCGATACGGTTTATTACCTCCAGTGCAGTTGAATGTAAGTGGTTTTATTCTGGGTAAATTACCATTCTTCCTGATTTATTCGAGACTGTCCCAGTTTGGTGAAGATGTCCTATGCCTCCCTCAGGACTTCACAGGGACCAGCAAATGTCATGATGTTTTGTCCAAATTGAATTATGGATTATGTTGAAAACTGCACCAGAATGAGAAAATATGGAAGTATGCATTACTGTTTAATGTAGCCATAAAATGTAAAAAGCTTTTTGATGAAATTAGTGTTGTTGGAGAAGCTACTAAAGTTCATGAAAATGAGTTGGAGAATGGAGTGATATCTGATAGAAAATGGAATGCTATTAAACCTATTGCACTTGCTGTGTTCACCACTACTTATCTATACAAGCACATGATGCAGGGAAACAGGCTGGTCGGCAGGTTAAGGGTGGAACTGTAAGCTCACTACCTCACTCTCCCCTTGCTAGTTGACATTTTAGTGTACTGTAAATAAATCAGGAATGGATGCAGAGAGTATTTCAGAAGAAGGCTAATTTCAGTTCCGAACCACTCTGAAGCTTTGTGAATTTTGTTTAAATGTAAGATTGAAAAAAATGTTCATAATGAAAATATTCCTTTGAATGTCATAGAATAAAAATTCAGAGTTTTCAGTATGTTGAATAAAATTACAAAAATAGTGGTGCTACAACAGCAAATACTTTCTCACATTAATAACGATTATGTAAAATTATAATACTGGGATTTCTGCCCGTTTTGGAATTGAATAAATATTGGTGAAAATCCTTCTTATGGTTTACATGCAGAATTCAGACCTGTGCTTAAACAAACTATCATTTTGTCATGCCTTACATGCTAAATTTACCGTGATCTTTTATATATTTCTTTCAGGTGACATTACCATATTCAACTGGCACAGTAAGTAGTACAACAAATCCTATTGTACAAGAGGGAGTGGTGAGTTCTGACATGCCTGTACCTGTGTCGTCTGATCTCTTTGTTGGAAGTCACCCTCCTCTTGTCAGGCAGCATCCGCAAGCAACGTCAATAATGGTAGAACCTCATCAGGTGAGTTTAAAAGAAATTGTCAATTTTTGATATATTTAACAAGGAAAAATATTTTGGCCATTCATGAGACGAACGGTTTCATTAATAAACTATTGCAGTTAATTTGCATTTATTAATATTTCAACAAAGCGATGTTTCAAGGCTCAATTTGCCGCATCATAAGGCTTATTATACATTGTACAAAATTCAAACTAAGAAATAAATTTAAGAAACTTTTTTTGGTTCAGTCTCTTAAAGGTTACAAGAACTTCAAAGACCCAGCTGCCATTATGGAGATTTCAGGCATTGTTAGATGTGCCAATTGTGTGCCAATGTTTAACAATGCTGCTCTCAATACAAAATGCTGCAAGGCATGTCACCAAATTTTTTATAACTCCTAAACTAATGGCTGCTTTAAATAGATGCAGGCTGATTGTTAGGGGTTCTGTATACATCATTCAGATGTCAACATTGGCCCTTGAACCAAAGAACCTTCTATTAATAAATCTTCTATTCTTTGAGTCAGGCACAAGAAGAGAAGAGTTTGTTATGAAACATTTAATACTGCTTTTAAGAGTAACATATCTTCAATTCTATCTGTTCATTGCAATGGTAAACTGTTGCCTGCATTCAATGTCAAAGAACCAAATGAAAAAAGACTTGCAATTGTTGTTACATTTGGGGACAGTGAGCAGCTCATCAAAATTGCAAAATTCTTCTGGAAATAAGCAAACTAACTTTGTTTGAAATGTATTAACGCACTGGGGTTTTGAAGACAATCTACAAATTCTTTGCTGTGATACAACTGCATCAAACACTTGATCTTATAAAGCAGGTCTTTCTTGAAGAAAAATTGGACACAGAATTGTAGTTCTTTCTGTGCCATCATCACATATACAAACTTATTTTACAATATGTTTGAATGTGAAATACATGATGTAGTAAGCATCACTTTTTAAGCATTTTAAGGAAAGCTGGGAAAGTGTTAATGACATTAATTTTCAATGTGGCAAAAAGAATGTGGAGAAATGTTCTTTAATGAGTCTGAAATTAAACAAATGTTGGACTTTTATGGAAGTGAATTATATAAACCAACACTACGAGGGGATTATCGTGAACTTGTAGAGATCTTCCTAATAATTTTGAGGAGACACACTGGAAACATCCTTCCGAAGCGATGCATCAAGCTAGGTGGATGGCAAGAGCTATTTAATGTTTAAAAATGTTTCTGCTAAGATAAGAGCCTAAAGTATCCAGTGTAATTAAAAATTACTTAAGAAATATCTTTCTGTTGATTGTAACTGTTTATGTCAAACCGTGGCTTCGATGCAGAGCAGCTGTAAATACTCCTTATCAAGGTATGTGATTTTTAAAAATTCTAAAGGGTAGATTCCACTTCTTCAAAGCAGCTCTAAAGAAATTAAGACACTGTACGTGGTATTTATTAGAAGATTGATGATGAAGTAGACATGCAAATCAAAATCAAAATGTAGCAAATTTAGCCAGAGAGAATCTACACATGAAAAAGAGTATATTCCTTTTTGTGGAGAATTGGATAGAAAATAATATGGTAAGGACAATTGTATCCCGATGATCGTTCTTTAATTATTAATTCTTTAATATACAATACATCTCCTAATTCAATTTAATCTTCATTTCAGTGAAATCAATATCTGACTATGTGTCAACCAAAAGTTGACAGCCAAAATCTGCTCTCTTGCCTGAAGATGAATACTAGTTTTATTAAAGAATGTCCTTCGATCAGGACAAGCAGTTCTTCATATTTAGAAGCTCAAAGGATAGTTATAAACTTGAAAGCTGTGAATGACTGTGCTGAAAGGGCTGCTAAATTAATGCAACACTTTCATGGACTACTGACTGCAGATGAGCGATAGCAATTTGTGTTGTTGTTCAAGAACATCGTTCACTGTACCCATATTTCAAGAAAGAAACACTGAAAAATAGTACCCACAAGAAAAGTAATACCCATAACACTGACTTAAGTGTGAGAATGAATTAAATTTTAATATAAAATTATATATTAATCATGTATCAGTAGTTCTCCACTGACTAAAAAAACAAAACCAATCAACCCTAACTTTCAAATTTTGCGCTCAAGTCGGCATTGGTTAATAATGGCCTATTGACATGAAATTTTATTTTTGCGTAAATTTGACCCAAAAATTGATAAATATATTTAGGAGGTGAGCCCCTCCCCCC